CAGCCCTCTGCTCCTCCACTGGGACCTCCCCTACATTAGGGGCAGCCTTCATGCATCAAAACCCTTCTCCCAGCGCCTCATTGGCCTGAAGGTTTTTCAGGGTCTACCTCCTCCCAGGGGCCCCAGTCTGGAACTCTACTCCCCATGCCCACGCCCACCCCCGCAGTGTCTTACAAGTCCTCAGACAACCCTCGCATCTGCCGGAATCTAAGACCTCTGAGGTCCATTGGAAAAATCCAGCATTAGCCTAGGGGCCAGGGAAGCTGTTAAAGTGTCTCTCATCCCAGCCCATGGAGACTCAGTGGGGCCGGCCCCCAGGCCTCATCACCTTGCCAGCCTGGGGGCAGAGGGGCCCACAGACCGACCCACCTTCTCATTGCAGGCCATCTCACAGGCCAGCAGCTGCTTAGTCGGGGAACCCAGGGCCTTTTCCACAAGGCGCACAGACCGCACCAGCTCGGCCAGTTCACTGGCGTCCAACGAGGCCGAGTGGTCGCTCCCCTTCCAGGTCTTGTCCAAAGTTATGTGACGTTCTAACACCTTGGCCCCGAGTGCCACGGCGGCCACGGATATGGCTATGCCCGTCTCATGTCCAGAATAGCCTATGGGAATGTCCGGAAAGAGCTTCTGATATTCCTGAGATGGAAAAGAGAGAGAGAAAGGTTATATACACACTCCTGGCGTCAGACAGATCTGGGTTCGAGGCCCGTATCACCTCCCACTAGCTGAGCAACTATGGGCAAGACAGGGAGGCGCTCGGATCTCGGCTTCTGGGGGCCTGTGAATGCACGGACAGTGCTCAGTACACAGTAAATACCAGCCAACACCAGTCAGTGGACGGCTGTTGCATTCATCAGGCACACGTCCTAAGAATGCTTTATACTGTAGAAACAGCCGTGCATGACCACAGAACCCAAACCAAATGCCTAGACTCCTTCGAAAGGCATCTGTCATGTGGAATTAGCCAGAGCTGCTGGAGTTGTGCACAAATATTACCATTAATAATACAGAAAACAATAACATAAAGCAATCCTGAGTGGAAGTGCTGAATAATTAATACATCTGCTATCTATAATTCACTGAATGCAACAAAAGATGTGCTAGGTCGCGTGAGTCTTGCCCGTGAGGGTGAGTGGAAGGCCTGACTACAGTGGGCAGACGGGGAGTTTGAATGAAAGGCTAGGACAGTCGGTGGCCAAGGCCTGAAAAACCAGCCTTCAGATGCCCGTGGGTTTTGGGGTCAGGGAGCTCAAACGGGGGTTAGAGCTTGGGCAGCGTCCTCCTAGCCCTTTGCCTGTCACTGTCTGTGGGCCAACTCCATCAGCTCCTCCTTGCAGCCCCAGAAATGTACATTCATTGGGGGTAAATTACGAATTAAAAGACAATGGAATTTTCCCACAGGCTTTGGCAGTCCCTTCACCTATGTGTGATTACCACGCAAAAATATTACAAGAACATTAATGGGTTAGCTGGCCCCTAGAGTGGCCGAGCCATCGAAGTCACTCTCGGCAGGACCCGGCATCAAGAGAGGGGCTGCCTGAACCTCAGGTGGGAGGGGAGAAAGGGGCAGGGTAAGACATCGAGAAGGAAACTCTGACATCACAGGAACGCTACGGTCAAGACTGTCTTCTGTGAGGGGCGGGGCGACAGAATTTCAGAGTTGTTTGAGTTCTTATGAAATAACATATTCGTGTGCTAATTTTAAAAATAACGTGATTCAGAGATGAGCTAGCAGTGCAATAAAGTGCATCCGGGCTCCGAGGGAGCAAGAACATTGTAGGTTAGAAAATGACCCTGCCTGCTTTCACAAGCACACAGTGTCCCCAGGGGGCAGCATGAAGGGAACACTGGTTTATTACAGTGTCCGCATTGGAAGTAGGTATATACACATGTATTTTTTCCCACAAAGTAAAAATTCCATTAATGTTACAATAATGTTTTTACATATACATACATATGAAGATGTGCAGCCAAAATGTTCCTTAGAGGCAAGGATGGCAAGACTTCATATCACATACTATGGACACGTCAGGAGACACCAGGCCTGGAGGAGGCTATCATGCTTGGTACAGTGGGGGCAGGGAAAGAGGAAGGCCCAGACAGGGCAGAATGGCCCAGTGGCTGCGACAATGGGCTCAAACAGCTACAACAGGGAGCATGGTGCAGGAGTGGATGATGTTTCGTTCTGTTGAGTGTATACAGTACCTGTGACTGGGAACTGACTAGATGGCACCGAACAACAACACACACATACACAACGGGTAAGAGCACTGCTGCTGGGGTCCTAACCCACGGGCGCATGGGTTTATTCCAAACAAATCATGCTGAAACACATTTCAGGGATCAGTGTTTGGCTACAGACAAGTTCCTCCAGTAACGCACTTGTCGGAGGGGGTCCAGTCCAAACAGTGGCTTCAGAAGGAACTGTCTGGGCCAGTTACATTCAAGGCAGAGAAGTCAGCTCATAAAGGTATGGAATGTGGGAAGCAGAGAACGGGAAGAGTGTATACAGATGAATCCTCTATTCTCATATATTAAGAAGCCTGGCAGACTGGGTTTCTGGGGCGGAGGGAGGCCTTCATCCTTGTGAGTTGGTGAGTCCCAATCATATGCTCATAAATTAATATTGTTGTCCACTATATCCTCCCATAATAATGCTACTAAAGTGGAGAGAGGGTGGGGTGGAAAGGGGGAACCGATCAAAAGGATCTACATATAACCTCCTCCCTGGGGACAGACAACAGAAAAGTGGATGAAGGGAGATGTCGGACAGTGTAAGATATGACAAAATAATAATTTATAAATTATCAAGGGTTCATGAGGGAGGGGGGAGTAGAGTGGGAGGGGGGAAATGAGGGGTTGATGCCAAGGACTTAAGCGAAGAGCAAATCTTTTGAGAATGTTGAGGGTAACGAATGTGCAAATGTGCTTTACACAATTGATATATGTATGTATTGTGATAAGAGTTGTATGAGCCCCCAATAAAATGATTAAAAAATAATAATAATGCTATTAAAGGGTACCTCTTACAAGCACATGGCAAAATGCAGTCTAGCCGTCAGCTTTATCTACAGAAGCAGGCATGTGCTATTGCTCTCTAGGCTCTGAAGACAGTCATGCCCCTTTCCTGCCCCCAGCACTGGTGTTAGGTGACTCCTCCAATATACTCACGGACCGTTAGGGTTGGGTAACAGCCCACTTTGTTACATATGTGGTTACCTGTAATTAGAGGGGCTTGCGTACCTCCTGAGAATATATAAACCTTGGTTGGAAATACATTCACTCTCTTTGCACAGGCCTGGCTCCTGAAGTCATGGAGGTCCAGAGGTGAGCATTTGCATGCTTTAGCTTGTCAGATATCTCTTTAATTTACCCCTCAATTACACAAACACCCCTTGGACCCATTCGATTGTAGGGGCTGGTACCCCACAATGATAACTGTATTTTGGGATCCCAAAGGGGCCATCCTGATAGATTTTTTCAAAGGACACAGGATGCTTGCAGAAGCTAATTATGAAGAACCTTTAAGAAAAGTGAGGTGACTTTCGGGAAGATGAGTGACACATACAGAGGGGCTCTGCAGAAATCAGCTCAGGAGGGTTACTAAGAGGGACATTCAACACTGCTGGATCGCAGGGGGAGCATCATAAAGATAAGTAGGCACAGATCCACAAGGTTTTGAGGGGCTGGGGCTTTTGGCTTACCACAGTGGAGGCTGGCTAGGGCTTGACCTTAGCCCCTAAGCCTCGCCACTGTCTCAGCTGTTTGGAGCCAGCGCAGAGGCTTTAGTTCAACACAGCCACAGCTTGCTGCCACCTTGGGACAGGGATTAAACACTTACAGCCCCACGGGCAGAGAACGGGGCTCAGCTATATTGTTACTTTTGTTTCGCTCTCTTATCTCTATCCCTCCACAGTCTCAGCAGGCTTAGTTAATTTTTTTCCCCTCCTCTTTGTCTCTTCCCTGTTTTCTCACACATCACTGCCAACCTCCAGACCACTCCCCTTAGCCTAGGGCAAGACACGATATAAGTTTAATGCAATCCCGATACAATTACCCTCAACTTTCTTCAAAGAAATAGAAAAACTGATTACCAACTTCATATCATATGGAGAGGGAAAAAGCCCAGAATTAGCAGAGAACTCCTCAAGAAGGACACAGTGGGAGGGCTTGCTTTACCTGACTTTAGTATATACTATACAGCCACAGTGGTCAAAATCGCATGGTATTGGTACAATGACAGATACTCAGACCAATGGAATAGAACTGAAAACCCAGAAATAAAATCATCAGCATACAGACAACTGATCTTTGATAAGGGCCCAAAAAATATCAAATGGGAAGCAGATACCCTCTTCAACAAGCGGTGCTGGAAAAATGGATATTTACCTGCAGAAAAAGGAAGGAAGATCCTTATCTTGCATGCACAAGAATGAACTCACGGTGAATCACAGGACTGGAAGTTAAACCCCAAACTATTAGGGCCATCAATGAGGGAATTGGGGCCAACATAAGAACTTTGGCCCAGGGAATACACAGACAATCAGAAATAGGGAAGGACACAGACACAGAGGAGGCACAGATTGACAAATAGACTTAAGATAAACACCTGTGTACATCGGAAGAATTCACCAAGAGAGTAATAAGAGAGTCCACGGACTGGGAAAACATCTTTAGCAATGACACATCAGACAAAGGCCTTATTACTAAAATCCACAATACTCTGCTAGCTTCCAAAAAGAAAAAAAACTAATTGCCTACTGAGGAGGTGGGCAAAGGACCTGAACAGAAGTTTCGCAGGGGCAGAAATCCGAATGGCAAATAACCATATGAGAAAATGTTCCCAATCTTTAGCCATAAAAGAAATGCAAATTAAAATAACAATGAGGTACCACCCAACACCCTCAAAGATAACCCAACTAAAAAAATCACAAAGCAACAAGTGTTGGAGGGGCTGCAGTGAGATAGGAAAGCTCATCCACTGGTGGTGGACCTGTAAGTATGTACAGCCACTATGGAAATCGATCTGGCGATTTCTAAAACAGATGGAAATTGAGCAACCATACGACCCAGCAATCCCCCTACTGGGCATATACCCAGAAGAGTCAAGAAACAAACCACGGCCAGACATCTGTGCTCCAATATTCATTGGGGCACAGATCATAACTGCAAGGAGTTGGAAAGAACCCAAATTTCCATCAACAGAAAAATGGATTAAAAAACTGTGGTAAATACACACAATTGAGTACTACGCATCACTAAAACGCAGTGATGAACGTATGAAACACATCGCTGCCTGGGAAGAACTGGAGGAAATCATGTTAAGTGAAGTAAGCCAAGCACACAAGGGCAAGTACAACATGAGTCTGCTGAGGTAAGCATTAAAAAAAAATGCAAATGGGGCATAGGGATAAAGCTACTGTATACAAATATTCCTGGAGGTAGGACCAGGTAGAATGGCAGAGGCCAGACCAAATCCAGGGATACATATGGTAGCCAATTAAAAATGAGGAGGGGGAAGGAAAAAAAAAAGAAATGGGTAGCGGGGGCATAGGGCACTAACCGTCCCAAGAGGAGGGTATTGTTTATATCTCCACAGAGAAAGAGGGACCATACTTCAACCCAGTAGCAATACTTCCGGGTTTACCCTCATTATGTGTGTGAATATAAAAGTATGCAGGAGCTCTGATGGCAAAATGGCTCAGCGCTCTGCTGCTATACCCAAAGTTTAAACCCATCGGCTGTTCCTCAGAAGAAAGATGTGGCGGTCAGTCCACTTCCACAAAGAGGAGAGCCTTGGTGAAGACAAAATGGGTGCACAAGCAAATGTGGTAATGAAAGCTGCTGCTGCTGCTGGCTTTTAAAAGAAATAGCACCAGGGGTTAAACAAGTGGCCATCTAGTGGGGAAGCAACAAAACGCACATGGAAGAAGCACACCAGGCTGTGTGATCATGAGGTGTCAACAGGAATAAGTATCAGACGCTCAAACACAAGCAGTCATGTTGATGTGAAGAAGCGGAGACAAAGTGGTGACCCATAACCCACCTGCAAGATAATTGGACAGTCTGTCACAGAAGGGCCACATGGGAAGGATGCTATATCCAGGGTGTAGGATAGCACTGATGAAACACAGAACTATCTTCTAGTTCTTTAATATTCCCTCACCTCCATATTATGGTCCCAGTTCTACCTCACTAATCTCATTAGACCTGTGTATATTCATTTGCATAATGAAGATCGTTAAATGCATGAAATCCAAGATAGATAGCCCTTCAGTCATAATAATGGGAGGAACAATTCCCTGAAGAATGTAAAGGGGTGGGGGTGGGGGGAACTGATGGCAATGATGACTGTATAACCCCACTTAAGGGGAAGGAACAACAGAATTGTAAATTAACGGTCACATTGGATGGTGTAAGATATGGCCAAATAAATAATAATTATTATATGTAAGAATAAGGGTTCCTGAGGGGTAGGTTGAGAGAGAGAGGGGATGAAGAGGAGCTGATAACCGAGAGTTCTAGAAGAAACGATGATGGCAGTAATTGTACAATTGTGCTTGATCTAATTGGATTATGGATTGTTATAATTTCTGTAAGAGCTCCCAATCAATTGATTAAAAAGAAAAAAGTGGAGAGCCTTGGAAACCCTCTGGGGTGGGTTCTAGTCTGCTCTGTCGGGTCGCTATGAGTCAGAATCGGCTCAATGGCAAGAAGTTTGGCTTCATATATCATTTTCCCCCTGATTGAGACACATTTCATGCACGACCAGGCGGTACAAAAGGAGTTAGCCTGAGAAAAGGTCATAGCCAAGTTCTAGCCCTAGCTTTGCCACATACATGCTGAAGAATTTCAAGCAAGTGAGCCCCTTTCCCCTTGGGACTGCCTTGCCTCTGTCCTCTGCCAAACGATGGAGTCAGGGTGGGTGGCAATATCCTGCGGGCTGTTGCTAGCCAGGAGAGATGCTCAGAATGATTGCCAGAAAGTAAGTCATTACCTGAAACATGATGAGTACAAGAAAGAAACGGTTCTAGAACTGACTACGGTGACAACTGTACAACTCTTCTTGATAGGACTGAACTAGTGAATTGTATGACATGTGGATGAAGTGTGAATAAAACTGCTAAACAAAGAAAAATGCTATCTGAAAACTCAAGCGAACAGGAAAAAAAAAAAAGAAAGCAGGAAACAGCACGCACCACACACCACATGGCAGAGAAAGGGCTCCTACAGCTCAGTATGAAAGCAAAGGCCGGCAAATAGGAAGCAAGGGCAGGAGCCAGCAATTTCTAGAAGACTGACCTCTGGTGGCCAATACACACGGTACAGCAAATGCATAGAAAGACCTCAGATTTATCAGGGAGAAATTCAGATTGGCTTTTGAAAATTCAATTCGCAGTCAGCCTCTTTAAAATGTAAGGAGCCCTGGTGGCGTGATGGTCACACATTGGGCTCTAACTGCAAGGTCAGCAGTTCGAAAGCACCAGCTGCTCCATGGGGAAAAGACAGGTTTTCTACTCCGCTAAAGAGTTACTATCTCAAGTAGCCATACCAAGAGAAGGGGAAGGTTGGGGGTGGGGGGCGGGGGTGGGATCCAAAGGGGGAACCGATCAAAAGGATCTACATATAACCCCTTCCCTGGGGGACAGACAACAGAAAAGTGGGTGAAGAGAGACATCGGTCAGTGTAAGACATGAAAAAATAATAATTTATAAATTATAAGGGTTCATGAGGGAGGGTGGGAAAAAATGAGCTGACACCAAGGGTTCAAGTAGAAAGAAAATGTTTTGAGAATGATGATAGCAACAAATATCAAAATGTGCTTGACACAATGGATGGATGGATGGATGGATGGATTGTGACAAGAGCTGTATGAGCCCCTAATAAAATGATTTTTTTAAAAAAGAGTTACAGTCTCGGAAACTCACAGGGACAGTTCTACCCTGTCCTATAGGGCCACTGTGAATCGGAATTGACTCGCTAGCAGGGGCTTTGGTCTTGTTCTTTAAAACATACCTGCTTCCTTAACTGCACAGTGGTTTGAATTTGATTCTGAACTAGCGAGACTTATTACAGATTTAATTGTGCACCCCCTCACAAAGCTAACTTCTGTAACTGTGTTGGGAAACGAGAGTCCTTGAAGACATTGTAGCAGCGAGGTCAACATGACATGCACTGTAGCCAGAGAGGTCCGGAGCCCTGTGACTGATGCCTGCATTAAAAGAGAAGACACCCAGAAGGAGACACAGGAAGGATGCCAAGACCCGGAGCCACCAGGAGGGAGCAGAGAAGGGGCGCGGGTCCTCTGACCAGGGCTCTGAGCTGGACTGCTAGCCTGCAGGCCTGTGAGAGCATAGATGTCTGTCCTTTGAAGCCACCCTGATGGTGGCATGCTGTGACACTAGCCCTGGGAAACCAATGCAACTGTCAGAGGAGGTGCATCTGGTGAAGTCTGTTATGGTTAGAATTGTGGTTATGAAAATGGCTACATCGTCCTCATAATAAATGACCCGAGCAGAAGACGACTTGCCGTGCCCGTTCAGAGCACACCCCCCGGCAGCGCCTGCTCACCGAGATGACCCGCAGGTTGACGTCCTGGGCCTCAAGCGGGTATGCACTGGTGCACTGGAGGAAGCAGAAGTTGGGGTTGAGGGGCTTCACGATCTGGTAGACTTGCTTCATGGTCTCCATGGACTGCATCCCGCTGGAGATGACCATTGGACGACCTGAGGGACACAGGAGCAGCTCATCCTTGAGGGGTGCACCTCCCTCCAGACACATCCCTACCGTGGGCCCCGCTGTTTACAGCCACTCTGCAAGCATCTCTGAACACGGGGCTAGCTGTGGTGGGGCACAGATGAGCTGGGCCGGTCCCTCCTCCGTAGTATTATGACAGCCATGTGAAGTGAATGGAGAGGGCAGAGCACCGGTCTGAGGAAGAGGCGGTCCAGTCTGCAAGGGTGAACTCTGACCCCAGAAGCAACAATCACCGGAAGACGTGCACAGCTCCAGCCCGAGGTGGCTGGGAGGAGATCATTCAAGGCTCAAAATCACTTTGCAAGCTTAAAGGTCCTGTCCAGTGTCCTGGGCACTGTAGTGTGTCTTCTGGTACTCTGCAAGGGCCGAGCTTCCTCTGACAAGCTTTATAAGGTCTTGTCCCACCCTGGGTCTCACAAAACAGTGGAAGCATTTTGCTGACTTTGAACTCAGTTTCTAGGGTCTGTCTTTGTGGGCGTGAAGCTAAACGACTCCCTGGGATTTTAAGTGCAAAAAAATGAAACACTCACTCACCTTTTTTGGCTGTCTTTTCCAGATAAGGAAAATTGTTAGTGTCCCCAGATCCAACTTTGAAAAAGGGGACGTTCAGTTCATGCAGGAACTCAACCGCCATCTACAAAGATCCAAGAACGAGCCCCTTGTCACCACTGGTCACAGACATGTCCTCCCCCTCCCTCCCTAGCCCACAGAGGGGAGCCCAACAACTTGAAAACAGACAAAGATTTGTTATCAGTCATTTCCACTCATGAGAACATTCCCTCTTTCACATCCACCCTCCACTTGTCCAACAAGCACTTAGGAGTGACCAGCACCGGCTGCTGGACTCAGGCGCCCGTCCAGACCCTTCCATCCCCAGGGACCCGCAGCCCAGGGAACAAGCTCAAAGGTTAGGGCCTCACTGGGGCCCAGAACACCAGGCAAGGAGAAAATGAGAATCCCTCTAAGGCAGTGGTGCTCAACCTGTGGGTCCCGACCCCTTTGAGGGGCGAATGACCCTTTCACAGGGGTCGCCCAATTCATAACACTAACAAAATTGCAGTGAAGTAGCAACGAAAATAATTTTATGGTTGGGGGTCACGACCACATGAGGAACTGTCTGAAAGGGTAGCGGCATGAGGACGGTTCAGAACCGCTGCAATGGGCAGGACAAGAGGCCATTTCTTTCTTGCCAAAGCTGTGGAGGGAAATGGGACGTTTTATGGCCCCACCCTGACACAATCCAAGCCATTCTCTGGGACTCACCGCAAGGCTCAGGGACTCATAATCGCTAACAGAAACTTGAAGGAATCAGGAAACAACTGAAAAAGTCTAAGACTCACTTCACAGTTAAGTTACAAGAACCTAAAATTCTAGCTTTTGGGGCGGGGGGTAGCTGAAAGATGTGGGGGAGTGCCAAGTTCTCTGGAGGTCTCCAGCCTGAAATACTGCTTGAGTTTCCCATGACCCTTTGGAAGACTTGAAGTTCTAAGGCCAAGCCTTCTCACACTTTCATATGCCCACCGAGTCTCCCCAGGGAAAGGTGATGCAAATTCCGCCCCACCAACCCCACCCCTGGTGGGGACCTGAGAACCCCCAATGCCCCCAGAGCTGCTGCTGCTGCTGCTGCTGCTGAGGTATGGATTCATGCATGAAAAGCCCTGGGCATGGGGGTGGCAAGGGCCAGGATGAGAAGGCCACTCTTCCCCTCAGCTAGAAGCTGTCCCCTTCTAGAAAGCTTTCCTCCTGTGCAAATCCTCTTCTGAGCCCGCTAGCCCTTCACTGCAGTTCTCCTTCACCACCACCTCCGCACTGCTTGCTCTCTCCTCCTCCTTTCTTGTCTCTTCCCAAGGTTTCCGTCTGTCTTACTATCTTACCCTGCTTCATAGGAGGGGGCGTAAAAGGCTTGGGGGACAAGCAGAATGGAGAGATAGTGAAAATCTTCCATGAACTTTTGGAAGCCCCTCCTATGTCTCTCTCACTGTTAGCCAGCCAGTCCTCGGACGAGAGTGAAAGCACTGGCTCTCCGCATGGGAACACAGCAGCAGCCCCGGTGGGCGATAGGAATGGTGATGAACGTGGCTGCAAGTCAAGAGGCTGGTGGCAGAACCCACCTAGAGGTGCCTGGTAAGACAGGCATGGCGGTCACTTCCAAAAGGTCAGAGCCATGAAAACCCTACCACCAGGCAGTTGGGTTCTGAAAGACAGAGGATCACAGAGTTAGAGGCTGCCCCAAAACCAGGGGGAGAAGAGGAGGGGGGTCAGAAAAACTCGAGGGGTGGTTGGGACTAGTGCTGACCCATGGCCCCACTAGCACCCAATGTCACGGGCAATGTGTGTACTGGTTGTTGAGTTGACTGTGTATACTTTCACCCCAAACACAAGGTCTTTGGCTTTTAAAAAGAATCGGTTCCAGGGCAACCAGCAGTGGAAAACTTCTCACTGTCCCTCCCTCTCCCTCTCTCTGGCAGCTGAAGAGGGCTGTCCATGAAAAGTGGGGGAAACCCTATACTAAGTTGTTTACTTCTGCTTAACCTGTGGGAGGGTAGCTGATGATGAGGCTGGTGAGCACCCTCAAGTGATAGCGGGGTGAGCTTACCGAGACAGAGCACCAGGTAGGGTAGATAAAGGAAAAACACATCACATCACCCCACCGAGGCTACACAATCCACAAGAGACCTGGTAATGTTCAAGTGTAGAGGGGAAAGGACAAATCCCTGCTCCGGAAAGCAAAGGCTCCCTTGGCAGTTCTGGGAAACTAGCCCCACCCAGGGGCCAGTTGGAAAGCTGCCGTTTCAGAAGGATTACCCTGCTAAGGGGATCACTGCCGCAACCCAGAAGTGTCTGTCCTTTGGTCCTGCTGCGGCATCACTGAGCCCCCAGGCTCCCCTCAGGTCAGGTGTGAGCCCAGGAGCCTGGTCTCTGTTGGGCTCTTTGGCTCCCCTAGCCCTGCCCACCCACTGTCCAGTCCCCTCTCCATCTGGAGATAACCTCATAGCTCCACTCTCCCTCCCTCCCACAGCACAGAGCCTGTCAGAGTCTGAAAGGAACCCGGCCAAGTATGACTCTCTGTGGGTACCAAACTAGGTAAACAAGCTCATGTGGGTGCCACACGGTGTTGCCATAGCTCCCGCTGGGAAGGCCCCGGCAATAAAAGTACTGAATGTCTTTCACACAGTGCCCCAGAACTGACTCCACACTCCGACCTTGAATGACACAGAGTGTGGGGAACTTCACCCCTTCTAACTCCATTCATCAGTGAGGATGGATCCTATGTCCCCTTTCCACACTGTGTCCTGAGAGAGTCTGGGGAAACAGAGGAGTGATGTTAGGGGTTTTCTAAAGCCCCTTCCTCTTCCCTCAGTGTTTGGATCCTGTAGGAAAAGGTTAGGACGCTTCGGGTGGTGAATGAAGGTGCAGAGCTGGAAAGGGGCGCGGCCTGCCTGGGCCTGTCAGAATGGAGCAGCAGGGGCTCTGCTGATGGAGGTGGAAGGGCAGGGGAGCGGAAGAAAGGACGGGCACTGAAGAGGCAGGTGTCTGGATGGGCTTTTATGTGAGGGAAGCATGTGTTCAGGGGTCACCTCTGCCGGCCCACCTCCTTTGTTTCTCAGTCACACTCTCCATTGGGGCAATCAAGCTCTCTGTGCACTTTTGGCCAGGTGTCTGCCCCGAGAGTTTTCTTGGCCTCCATAAAATTCAGGCACGCCTTAGCCTTCATCAGCACAGAGAACACCTCAGAAGAGCAGAGTAGAGGAAATTGGCCTTCAATAAATGTCTACTGTCTACAAGGAAGTTAGAGCTGCCGCTTTGCACCTGGAACAAGGACCTGTCCCACTCACACAACCAGGCAGACAGGAAATGCTGGGTCAACAAAGTCGATGAACTCTTCTTATGAGGGCTCTCAGAATGCATGTTACAAACGGTTCCGGCTTGGCTGCGAATGGAAAGGCTCCCTGTTGGAATCCACCCGCGGGTGCTTTGGAAGAAAGGCCTGGGGATCTGCCTCCAGAAGATCGCAACCACTGGAACTCCTGTGGAGCCAAGGGTCCTCTGACACCCTGGTCCTCGGGCGTCCGTACCTCCCTGCCATCGAGTCACTTCGGACCCAGAGCGGACCCTGTGGGACCGAGGGAAACACCTCCTTTGGGTTTTCAAGGCTGAAAATCTTAAAGGGGCAGAAAACCTCATCCTTACCCACTGAGGGCCTGGTGGCTCTGAACTGCTGACCTAGTGGTCAGCGTACCCCACGACACTCCCTGGGCTCCTCTCAGGTTTCCATGTAGAGAGCGTGTCTTCACCTCTGTGGTGGTTACGTAATCGGGTGCCAGTTTGGGACTTGAGAGGACTCAGAGTGAAGGGATGGAGGCTAGCCCGTCAATCAGGTCACAGTCAGAGGCCTCTGTGCGAGCCTGGGGTTTTCCTGAGAATTCTGGGAACTCTGGTATTTCCTCCTTGAGGTGGAAGAGTCTCTCTGCTCACCTCTCTGCCACGTAGAGACCCCTGCCAGTGCTGACATGCTTCCAATGCCACCGGATCCACAAGACTTTGCACCCACCGGTCTTCCTGCATTCGGTGTCATTGCATGTGTTTCATGAGTCTGAAGAAGACTTTATAGTTGGTATCAGACATATGGGCTAATTTTGGACTTGATCTGGGCTGGGCTAGGGTGTTTCTTCAATATTTAACCGCTCTTGTATATAAATCTCTTTCTTATACACATGAGTGTCCATGTCTACTCGGACTAACACAGCCTCACAGCCCATGCCCAGGCCAGTCAAGGACCAGCTGGGCACACAGGGCATTCTGAGGACAAGGGAGCCTGCTAGCCCAAACCATTTGCAGCAGAAAAAGGTTCTGAGCAGTGGTCACAGCCAGGAGTCAGTGGGTGCTGCCTGACATTGTCCTTGCACCCTACAGGCTGGTCATCTTCAAGCCGCACTACAGCCCTGCATGGTAGGCACTTTTATTATCCTGTTTTACAGACGGTGCAACTAAGGCTTAGAGAGGTTACATGCAGAGCCCAAGCCCACACAGTGTCAGGGTTGAACTCAGTGGGGCTCAAGCTCACCCGCTTTATCACCAAACAAGGCTTCTTGGGGAGTCTGAGGCGGGAAAGAAACCACGAAAAGCACGGAGGTGTCCCCCAACAACTAAACACCCAGCATCCCCTTGATCTCCCAGCTGCTCCAAGTATTCAACTAGAAACCACCTGGAAGGAACAACCCAAGGAAGTCACTTCCTAGGCAGACTCATCGAGGCAAGGAGATGTCCTTCTTCCTGTGGAACACAGACCCAGGACGCTCTGGTGCTGACACCTTTTCACCTGGCCAGAAAAGTCCTCCTTCCAGGTGTAAGGCATCTGATGACGCCCTCTGGTTCTGTGCCTACTCGGAGGGAAGGCCTGGCAGAGCTGTTAGTGTTTGGCGCCACAAAAGAGGAAGCAGAGGCCCTAGCAGGAGGGCTTGCCAAGGCCACACAGACACAGCCAAGCCAAGGAAGAGCCCAGACGGCCTGAGCCTTCCGCTGCTCATTCACAAACAGCGCTGACCTTTGCTGAGCGCTGACTGCAGCTGACCGTTCTGGGAGGGAATGCACGTCAGCCTCACAACTCTGCTCCCATTTTATAATGGAAGAATCCGCAGAGGCATATTCAAACTCAAAACTGAGCTCTGCATGCATTTAATCACCAGACTATGTGGCAAGGGTGTATACCAGAGCAGGGTGCGTACTATATACTGTATGGGGTGTGCACTATACAGCAAGGGTGTGTACCACAGAGCAGGGGTATGTAGTACACCGTAGGGGCGTGTACCACACTGCATGGGTTTCTGCCAAATAGCAGGGGGCATACAGCAGAAATTCTCAAACACTTTGGTCTCAGGACATATTTACCTTCTTAAAAATGACTGATGACCCTAAAGAGCATTGGCGTATGGAGTTCTGTCTACTAACATTTACGATCAGCACCCCGAGATGCCTGGCTGGCTATGGGCTGATGTGGTGAACCTGCCCTCACAGAATTGCATAGCACTCTGCCTTACATATGTGATCTCACCTGCTTGGAAAGACAAGCCTGCATGTGTGTGTTTCGAATCCGGCCCCAGTCTCTACACCTCAGGAAACAGCCCAGGCATGGAGGCAGCAATGACATTATACAGTGGTTGGAGGGCAGGCTCTGGAGTCACAACACCTGGGCTGGTTCATTAGCTATTGGGTGTCAGTTTTCTCATCTATAAAATGGGTATAGCAGTTGTCCAACCTGAAGGGACTGCTAAAAAGAACAAATGAATCCATATATTTGAAATATTTAGCACAGTACCTGGTACACACTACCCCCATGAAATGGGGCACAGCAGGGATAAAATATACGATTGTACATGGAGATCCTCTGCAGACTCAAGTGTGTAATCTAAAGGTTGTTCTCCGCGGTCAGCAAGCTAACCCTGACAGATGGCAGCAGCCCCGTGTGTGCAGAGCCGCCCTGCTCCCCGGGGCTTTCAACGCTGTGACGCTGAGAAACAGCTGGCCAGGCCTGGTTTCTGATCCACCCCTGACTAGTCATCAAGCACCTCACTGTTTGTAACACCCCAGGATTGCTTCATCTAGAGAGAACTATTAATATCAATTATTACTAAAGGCATATTGGTCAGAAGCTCATGCTCCTGAGTGCTGTGAATTAAGCAATGGATTTGGTGTCCAGAAAGTAAAGTCTGGAACAAAAAATCATATCATTGTGTGTTCACCTCCCCGATACGATCGCTGAAGACAAATGTGTGCATAAGCAAATGTGGGGAAGAAAGCTGATGGTGCCTGCCTATCAAAAGATACAGCGTCTGAGTTCTTAAAGGCTTGAAGGTAAACAAGCAGCCACCTAGCTCAGAAGCAACAAAGTCAACATGGAAGAAGCACACCAGCCTGTGCGATCACGAGGTGTTGGAAGGATCAGGTATCAGGCATCATCAGAACAGTGCAGGGAGTGGAGACCCAAAGCCCATCTGTAGGCAATTGGACACCCCCTTACAGAAGGGTCATGGGGAGGAGAGGAGCCAGTCAGGGTGTAGTGTAGCAACTATGAAACATACAACTTTCCTCTAGTTCCTAAATGCTTCCTCCCCCCACCACTATCATGATCCCGATTGTACCTTATAAATCTGGCTAGATCAGAGGATGTACACTGGTACAGATAGGAACTGGAAGCACAGGGAATCCAGGGTGGATGATCCCTTCAGGACCAGTGGTGGGAGTGGCGATACCAGGAGGGTGGAGGGAGGGTGGGGGGGAAAGGGGGACCCGATTACAAGGATCTACATGTGACCTCCTCCCTGGGGGATGGACAACAGAAAAGTGGGTGAAGGGAGATGTCGGACAGGGCAAGATATGACAAAATAATAATTTATAAATTATCAAGGGTTCATGAGGGAGGTGCAGCGGGGAGGGAGGGGAAAAATGAGGAGCTGATGCCAGGGGCTTAAGTGGAGAGCAAATGTTTTGAGAATGATGAGGGCAATGAATGTACAAATGTGCTTTACACAATTGATGTATGTATGGATTGTGATAAGAGTTGTATGAGCCCCTAATAAAATAATTTTTAAAATAAGTAAAGTTTGAAATCACTTAAGTTTCCCACAGGCTCGGTTCTGTCTCCCTGACTGCTTTGCGGAATGACCCCAGGCCCAGCTGGCTTTTTGTGTGTCAGAGTTGGAACAGTGGCATCACAGGGGGGTGGGGGCAAGAAAATGAGCTGGGGTCTGCTCCCAACAATCTGGATGTCCACAGAATCCAAGTAAGCCAGGAGACACAAAGGTGTCCTTAGGCTTCATTTAACAAGCCATGACTGGGAAGCTCGCCCAGGAAGCCCACAGCACAGAGAAAGGGCATCCTTCTCGGCACTGTTCATAAGCACAATTCAAAAGTAGTGGAGCAATCAGGCTCGTCACAGCACGCCCCCTCCACGAGAATGAGTATACTGCTTTTAAACACCCAAAGCACAAGAAAGGAGGTAAAACGCTGTTGGTATAATGTTAACTGAAGAAAAAAGCATGACACAGAACAAAATGTCACAAACACTACCACCAGGCAATACAATACGCACATGGACCTGGGGAGGAAATAGATTAAAAGAAAGAGCTGCAATGTAGGAACTACTGTGCGTCAGTCTTTCTGGTGTCTTCTTTCTTTCCTTCTCCTGTTTTCTCTGTTTGTAAAGCTATCCTGTGTTTAAAAATTTTTACAAGTAAAGGTGTTTCACATCTGAAAAAAAAAAGAGCACTCGAGAGAATCCTAAGGGGGGAGGTCACACAGTGGATGGCAGCCAAGACCTGGCACCATCTGGACTCTTCCAGGATGTAGCCAAACCCATTCAAATCAAACATGATAAAAGAAGCCGTCCTGTGACCACCCTCTCCTGCATCCTGCATGCCACTCCCTTCCGGCCGACACCACCATCACCCCTCCCAAGCTAGCCAAGGCCACTTAGCAAGTGGCACTGCTGTCAGAATCCTAGTTCCCCAGACCAGGCAACTTTGCACTGGGACAACGCAGGGCAGCTAAGGTTTTCCACAAGCTCGAGGGATTCTGGGGCTGCAGCATGGCTGCGCCCCGACTGCCACTTGAATCCCTTCTCACAAGTTGTCACTCAACTGGGGTCTCCCCTTGCCCTCCCGCTTAGTTTGGCGTGGAAAAGTGAGCAAGGGCTGGGGCTGGCTCCAGGCCGCAGTCACCAAACCACCTGTAGCCCCCTAACAGGGCGTGGCAGTTCTGCAGCAGAGGGCTCACCTCATCCATGCCCGAGGCGGTGAAGAAGATGCCGATCTCGCTGGCATAGCTCTGCAGCTCCCGGTACTGGGCATGGCTGAACTCCAGGTAGCGTTTATGCTCCCCGTATGTCTTGCCCCAGGAGTGCTTGGACGTGTAAGGCCTCTCCAGGGCCCTCCGGTTAAACTTGTATTCCAGCTCACTCTTCTGGAACTTGGCACAGTCGGCTCCGCACTCCTGAAACACACATCGGGGCTCCTTTCAATGACCGGGCAATGACATGCCACCAGGGCACGTTGTTCGCAATGCATGAAGGTCCTCGGAGAAGGAAACCAGAAGAAGCAAGAAAGTCGGGATGGAAAGAGAAGGCTATTTGGGGGTGGGGGCTCCCATCTATCTTCTTGCTTTTTTTGTTTGTTTGTTTGTTTGCTTTGCATTGTAATACTGAAAAAGAATGAATCGAAGAGCTAACAAAAAATGGAAGTTCTATGGCTCAGTCAAACAAACACTGTCGATGTGGGCTTTCACGCTGACTGCCCTTCACTGGGTCCCATCCTGTCTCTGGGCAGGGTTTCCAGCATCTAAGTAGCAGCTGGGGCTAGTGCCAGACTCCTCAACCGTTCGGCTACACGGGAAGGACCCAGCGCTGGCCCTGTCCCTCCCACTCTTACTGCACTAACAGCAGCCTCACTTTTCCCTGGTGCTCACTTCTGCTTTGTGTGTGTATGTGTGACACTTTTATTTGAAATCAAACATAAAAGTGCCCTGCCTCGGTGACTTCTGTGTTTGACATGATGACCTCATTTGATCCTCTAATCAAATCTTTGGAATGATTAGTATTATTAGCAAGTAACTAGCTCAGCCAGCGTGCAGCTTTTAACCACCTCTTAATCCAAAGACAGGAAAGGGCAAGCGAAAACGACATGGGCAACTTCCGGGAGGCTTTCAAGAGGTGACCCGGACTATGCGAAGGGGCCGGACCCGTGAGATCCTTTGCAAAGGGTTTCCACTCTCATTTTGCCCGCGGGCAGCGAGGAGCCGCTGACGTGTCCTGCAGGGCTGTGACCGGATCGACTCCGAGCTTAGAAAGAAAGATCTTTCTGGCACCAGAGAGGGAGCGCAGGTGTTGAATACCAACTGCTGTGGTGCCAACAAGTCGGACGGGTGGCAGAGGGACCAGAGCGTCACCGACGGAAAAAGAAACCGGACCGCTGGCCGGGAGAGGCAGGCGGCGCCGCGGCCCTGCTCCTCGCCCGGCCTCCCGCGCTCCGCCCGCGCTCCCCTCACCTTCGCCGTGCGGATCATGCGCTTGGCGATGTCCAGGTCGCCCTGGTGGTTCTGGCCGATCTCGGCGATGATGAAGCACGGATGCTGCCCGCCCACCCAGCGCCCGGGACACAGCTCCAGCTCCAGCGGCATCGCGGCGGCTGGCGCTCGCTCGGCGGACACACGGACCGCTACCGTCTCACTGCCGCCGCCTGCGGCCTGTGAGGGTGACAACCCGCAGCCCACACGCCGACCCCGCCACGTCAACCCGCGGCCTCCGGGCAGCCAATCCCTGGGGCCCGCCTCGCTCGCGACAGCCAATCGGAGGAGAGGGCGGGGCGACCGCCGCGTGGGCGGTCGGCGGAGTGCGTCGGGTCGCTGAGCCCCGCGGCGCACGCAGGCTCCGCCCTCGTGGTGTCCCCCACGGAAGTTCCGGCGCACGCGCTTCCCTGAGGGGCGGCGGCGGCTCGCGCGCGCTCGCCCGAGACCCAGCCCGTCTGGGACGGCCCTGGCGGCGGGCTGGTGACGCGCGCGGCCGCTGACCGCGAGGTCCGCTGGAAGCACGGCTTTCCTATCCTGCGTTTCCGGAAACCCACGGAGACAGATCCACCCTGCCCTTTAGGCTCGTTTGGGTGCGGATAGACGGAATGACAGTGAGTTTGACCTTTTTAAAATTATTTTTTACAGGTTTATTGGCACACAATCCACATATACAATTCAGTAGTTCAGTCATCTCAAGGAGACTTGTATAATCATTACCGCAATCAGTTTTCGAATACTTTTTTTTTTAACCCCCAGCGTTAAATTGCTTTTTAAAAGTTGTGAAATCACAATCAGGTGTAGTCATCCCTTCCCCCTCCCGCATTCATTGTTTACTCCCCAAATCTCTTCACCCTCTCTCTCTTGCCGCGCCCCTTACATCCTCTGTAAACCCTTGAATCCGTTTTTTTAATATATAAATCATTTTATTGGGGGCTCTTGCAGCTATTATAATAACCCGTACGTCAATTGTATCAAGCACATTTGTGTATATGTTGCCATCATTTCCAAAACACCTTTCTACTTGAGCCCTTGGTATCAGCTCCTCTCTTCCCCACCCTCCCACCCTCTCGAACCTTTGTCATTGAATCAGTTACTATCGCTAAGAATCCACTCCTACACTTCACAAACTGAAAAACTGTTGGACATGAACCGGACAAGAACAACTCAGTCTTTGGCACAAAGGGAAATAGTTTTTCAAAAGGGGACAGAAAAGAAATAACCCTGCGCAGGGACCGGCCACCTGAGTCTAAAGAGAATGAGTGACTGGCCCCAGTTGATCACAGAATTAGGTTTTTATAGGGTTTCATCAAACAGTTGAGCTGTGCAGCTGTGTAAGCAAGCTGGTACAGAAGCAGAACTTGCGGTTAGCCAATTCAGCACAATTTACTGTTACAAGATAGTCTGTTGCCGGTCCTGAGAACAAGGGACAATTTCCAGTTTGAGGAACAAGGGGCTACAAAGGCCTGAGGTTGCCCTTATGGTCTGGTGCAGAATGTTTGCTTAATACAAAGTGGCTTTACTTAGGCTATTACATTCCCCCCTGGTCTTGTTACACCTGTGAATCTTCCAGGTGTGAGCTTTTATATGACTGTGGCGGCAGCTCAGTTTGGGTTAGTTGCTCGTATGATTTGCTAAGCACTAACAACTTAGTAGATTGTATTTGGTCCTGCACAAACTGGACTAGCTTGTTGATGATGAGCGGCCCGCAGGTCAGTCCTATTAAAAGCAAGAGTAGCGGGCCAGCTAGGCTGGACACTAAGGTGGTGAGCCAGGGTGACCAGTTGAACATTTGTTGGCAAAACATTGGTATCAGCTCATTTTCTCCCTCTCTCCCCCGCCCTTCCTCCCACATAAACCCTTGATAATTTATAATTTTTTTTCCATGTCTTACATTGACTGATGTCGCCCTTCACCCACTTTTCTGCTGTCCATCCCCCTGGGAGGGAGTTATATGTAGATCATTGTGATCGGTTCCCCCTTTCTCCCCTCACCTTCCCTTTCCCCTCCTGGTATTGCTACTTTCTATATGGGTCCTGAAGAGTTTATAGGTCCTTGATTCCCTGTGTTTCCAGTTCCTATCTGTACCAGTGTATATCCTCTGGTCTAGCCAGATTTGTAAGGTAGAATTGGGGTCATGATAGTGGGGGGAAGGAAGCATTAAAAAACTAGAGGAAAGTTGTATGGTTCATTGGTGCTATACTGCACCCTGACTGTCTCATCTCTTCCCCAAGACCCTTTAAGGGGATGTCCAGTTGCCTACAGATGGACTTTGGGTCTCCACTCTGCACTCACCCTCAGATATCAACTCCCCTTTATCCCTTCCTTCCCCTACCCTACCACCCCCTTGAACCCTTAATAAATTGTATATTATTATTGGTTTAGGGGATTTTTTTGGCCATGACTTAAACCATCCAATGAATTCATTCACCTAAAATTCTGATGTTCCTTCTCCTTGAGGGGGCTTATAGTTATCAGTTCTCCCCCCACCTTTCCCATACCCTCAGGGAATCATTACTCCCATTACTGTTTCTGAGGGGTTTATCTCTCTTGGATTTCGTGCATCAAAAGATCTTACTAGTGCCAAGGTGCATGCACAGGTCTAGCAAGATGAGTGAGGTAAAGCCAAGTCCATAATGATGAGAGGAGGAAGTTTTTAAGAACTAGAGTTTTTTAAGAACACTGATCACAGTCCTTGGGTTTAGTAAGACTTGTTGTATTTCGTCGAGATGTCACTTTTCTATTTCTTTTCTCTTGATTATGAGTTCAAAAACACCACCACACACAACAAAAGACATGACAGTTCAGTAGTAAGCTTTTAATAAGTGGTCATTCACTGCCACTGAGTCCATGTTGGCTCCTGGTGACCCTGTCATATAGGGTAGAACTGCTCGTGTGAGTTTCTGAGACTGTGACTCTTTGAATGAAAAGCCCCATCTCCCCCCAACTCCAGGGCTCCTCAAACTCATTCTGAGTCATAGTGACCCTGTAGGACCGGGTGGGGCTGCCCTTATGAATTTCCAAGATTGGAATGGAAGTAGAAAGTCTTAATCAACTTTCTCCAGCGCAGGGCTGGGGGCTGGTGATTTGAACTGTTAACCTGTGGTTCACAGTCCAATATGTAATCACTGTACCACAAGGGCTCCTTAGTGTTAGCCAATCCTATAGCAGGAGAGGCAACAGATTCACAGAGTTCCGGTGACTTATCCAAAGCCTCTAGAACAGCGGTTCTCAACCTGTGGGTCTCGACCCCTCTGGGGGGGTGTCAAATGACCCTTTCACAGGAGTTGCTTAAGACTATCAGAAAACATATATTTCCGATGGTCGTAGTAACCACTGAGACACTGCTCCTCTATCCGTCTCCAGGCAGGTCCGCCCCCTTGCAGATATGCTCACATACAGGTACCTGGCGTGAAGACTGTTAACCATGCTACACCGTGCTTCAAGACAACATTTCATTTATTTGTCGTTAGAAATAATTATTTCACATAATATAATTACATATTTTGTGATGAATCACTATGCTTTAATTATGTTCAATTTGTAACAATAAAAATACATCCTGCATATCAGATATTTACACTGATTCATAACAGTAGCAAAATTACAGTGGTGAAGTAACAGTGAAAATAATTTATGGTTGGGGGGTACCACAACATGAGGAACTGTATGAAAGGGTGGCAGCATTAGGAAGGTTGAGAACCCCTGCTCTAGAAAGACCGAAAGTGGGACCTAGAACCCAGGTTGCCTCCCACACCCCACCCTCCGCTGTTCCGCAGGTCCTGACTTATAATACCCCTTGCAGCCTCCTACAGGAGCCAACAACCCTATGTAGTCGATTCAGTGCCCTACTAAACAGAGAAACAAAGCCCACGTGTACCCGTTCGGAAACCTTTCCCTCTGAGCATGTGCAGTGCGCCACTCCTTTGTTTCCAAAGCTTGGCCCTCTGGGCACATGGACATCCCAGCCCTACGCTAGCCTACCTAGCAGCCCTATCTCTTTTTGTATTCTAACTATCAGATTTTATGCTAGAAGGAACTTAAAAATATGGAACGTTCCAGGAATTTGCGTGCACTCCTTGTGCAGGGCCATGCTAATCTTCTCTGTGTCGGTCCAGTTTTAGTATATGTGCCGCGGAAGCGAGCACAAGTCCTATCTTGACATTGCCCTGCCTCGGGTCTGTGGACCCAGTGGTCTGTGCTCATTTGTAGAAGGGGACTTCAAAGCGTCTGTGGGGAAATGGAATGTAAAGATGGTGGCATTTTTCCATGAACCTTTTGAAACCCCCTCCAACGTCAGTCCCTTTGCCGACTGCCCCACTGTGAGAAAGCTCACGGGACCTTCAGACATTCTAAGCTCAGTCCTCTGCCTAAACCCTGCACATACGTCTGCGTTACTGCACTGTCCCGGTCGGTCTCTGAATCGTGCTTTAAGCCCTCAGGAAACCTATTTTGCCTCACCGCACTGTTCAGGTTTTCCCCCCACTGCAGGAATGAATGATCCAGTGTGAAGGCGTGGGGATCCACTGGAGAGCACAGGTCGCCTCCCTGTACCGCCCTGAGCAGACGCTCTGGTTTGCTTTGTTGTCTTTTTTTGTTTCCTTCTTTTTTTAAAATCACTTTTTAAAAAAAATCACTCTTATCGCAATCCATAGATCCATCCACTGTGTCAAGCACATTTGTACATTTGTTGCCCTCATCATTCTCAAAACATTTGCTTTCTGCTTGAGCACTTGGTATCAGCTCCTCATTTTTTCCTTCTCCCTCCCCGCTCCCCCCTCCCTTATGAATCCTTGATAATTTATAACTAATTATTATTTTGTTATGTCTTACACTGTCCAACATCTCCCTTCACCCACTTTTCTGTTGTCCGTCCCTCAGGGAGGGGGTTATATGTAGATCCTTGTGATCAGTTCCCCCTTTCACCCCACCCTCCCTCCATGCTTTGTCTTTTCGTGGAACGTCTGTGGCCACCCTTAGGTGAGCCAGTCCATCAGCGCCATTTTCCCAGCAGCCCATGCTCACGTGGTGCTTCTGTCACATTTGGGTCATCCTCCCCCTGGCGCAGACCTTGTCATAGTGCCGCTGCCACTTAAGAGACCACGGTGAAGCCAGGATGCATCATTTCTGTCTGCACTGGGGAACCAGAAGGTTCGTGGGACTCACGTCCCGGTGATCCTCGTGTTATTGTCGTGGCCCAGAGCCAAATGCACAGTGTCGCCGGGAAGAATGGCCTTATGTGGCTACGATTCAAACCGAGGGTCCGGCTTTTTGTGGTGGCCTTTGGCTGTCCACCAGATCATGAGTGGACCCCAGCCAGATAGCCAGATATTTAAAGCCCCAGGACCACTGATCCTGTAAACGTGTGAAACCTATAATTACATATATGCTTTCACCCTCCCCTGCTTCTGCTATCCCGCCTTTGACAGTAGTGCATCTATGAAGGAAGCACCAATTAGAATTTCTTTCAGCCTATGAGAGCTGTGGTCTGGGTGTGATTCAGGGGATCCTGCTAACCTCTCCTGCCGGCTGACTCATCTCTCCTTGGAATGATTGACTAAGGGTTGGTTTAATTAATACTTTTGATAAAATAGAAGTTTGGGGTCTCCTCCCCCCACCCACATAGTTTTGATACTGTCCCTGAGAGGAGGAGTCCGTTGTGGGCAGCGGGAGTCCATGGATACAGAGCTGTGATAGAGACCGGACCTCTTAGTTTCTACACTCAACCTCACCTGTACACCTCAACTCAACAAAACTTCCACGCCAGGCACCAGCATAGAGTGGTGAACAAGTAAGTCACACGCTCCTCCTCCCATAAACGCCGGTTCACGGTCAATAGTGTTCAGGAAAACAGTAAACAATACTCACACCAAAGATCTCAGAATGACAGTACTTCGTTCCCTGAAGGAACCACATGGAGTGCTATGCCAGAGACTAAGGAGACCTTCCTGAGCCACTCGTAGAAACATTTTCGAAGTGGATCCATTTAAGTTTGTTCTAGCTTTGTAATGTTTTCTGCTTTGTTTTCTATTGAGGTTTTTATTGGTTTTACTGTTATTTTTTTTTAGTTTTGTTTTTAATGTCTTTCTGTCTGTGAAGTCCAAGCTAGGCAAATCTATAAAGATTAATGGTTCCTTGGGGCTGTGCCAGGGCAGGTTGGGGGGAAATGGGGGGCTAATAATAGTGAGTACAAGAATGATGAAATGAAAAAAATGACGAAAATGTTCTAAAACTGATTTTGGTGATAATTATCCAGTTCTTCTTCGTGTGATTGAACTGTTGAGTTTTATATGTGAATTATATGTCAATAAAACTGTTGCAAAAGAGATTTTCGGCCTTGGGAACCCTCTACGGGGTCCGCTATGACTCCGATTCAACTCCTGATATCAGTGGGTTGCTTTAGATTAAGGTGACCAGACATCCTTCTTTTGGCTGGACAGTCCCGATTTTTAACAATTTTTCCAGCACCCACAGCATTTTTAAAAAGTCCTGATTTTTGGAAAGAATGCACGACAAGCTAGGGTATATGGTTTTTGGCTGCCATGTGGTTATTTTGCCAGGATATGAGTTTTATCAATGGTGTCCCGCTTTTGTCCCGTTTTTGCCAATGTTAAAATCTTTAGATGGGTAGTCAGTGTTTAAGCTCAGACCCCACACCAAATTCTTTCCAAATGACAGTAATTTCTTCTTGTGCTGGGTCTCCACGGGATGCTGAGAAAGCATAGTACATCCCCAAAGCACAGCCTTTGGAATAAATCAGGAATGAATGCATTCAACTCCTAGCTCTGTCCCAACCTTCTGAAGAACCTCTCAATGTCCTCCTCCGAGGATGGGGACAGTCACCAGCAGAGGGCAGTCGTGAGCACTCAGTGAAAAGAGGTGTGTGAGGCCTGAAGAGATCCCAACCTGCCTTGTCCCCACCCTGATCTGGCTGGAGGGGTCCGTTCCTAGGCTACTACTCACAAGCCTGTTTCCATTGCCCGAGGCCGGCCTGGCCCCTCCCTGGTCTTGGGCCTCACTCAGACCAAAGTCCATTACCCTGAAGTCAATTCCGACTCAGGGCCATTCCACTGGTTAAAGAGTAGAACTGGTCTGTAGGGTTGAATCTTGACTGACGGAGAACTCCAGATCTTTCTTCTGCAGCACCACGGGTTGGGGTTGAATGGCCAACCATTAGGTTAATTACAAACAAAAACAAAACACTGCTATCCAGTCAGTTCTGACTTACAGCAACCCTATGGATCAGGATAAAACTGCCCCTGTGGGCTTCTAAGATAAGGTGACCAGATTTTAACATTGGTAAAGCGGGACACCATTGATAAAACTCATATCCTGGCAAAATAGCCACATGGCAGCCGAAAACCGTATACCCTAGCTTGTCGTGCATTCTTTCCAAAAATCAGGACTTTTTAAAAACGCCGTGGGATGCTAGAAAAATTGTTCAAAAGCGGGACATCTGGTCACCTTATTCTAAGACTCTTTTAAAAATCTTTTTTTCACATAAGGAAACATTTATTTGAGGTTTAACATAAAATCGTACAAATAAAAGTTGTATCAACGCAAACCCACATCGAGTCAGAACACAGGTAGCAAAAGGACAGGGAAACCAAAGAAAGCTAGTTGGTTGGTAAATACAGCTAGACACATTGTGTCTCATACCCTAAAAAGTCTTTTAGAAAACAGTCGCCTTAGTGCAACAGAAGGCTGATCTTCAAAGCCGTCCTGTAAGATGGGCTGCTTTAGCGTCCACTCCTGTGTTCTCCAACGCCCTCCTTTAGTGGGGCTGGTCGTCGTTCTGGTGACTGCCACCCCCTGGAGGTAGTGCCCTGTCTTCTGTACACTGTTGGCCACTGTGGCCTGCATAGCCCTGTCTATAGCCGTTGTCCCCTTCGTTATATCCTGTACAATCACATCTGCCACAGCCACTACAGCTCTGATCACCGCCACAGGCACTATTGTAATTTCCATATCCTTGATCATAACAGTTATTAAATTCTCGGTTCCAGTTTTGGCCCTGACCTCATCTACGACCCCTAGTATACCTCAGCCACCAGCTGCAGCACATCTTCCTCCTCTCTGTTGCTGCCGCCGTCTATAGATCTCTTTGGGCTGTGCAGCTTGGACTTCCCACTTCCCAGAACCCATATGGTGGTATCCACTTCTTAGCAGCTGCTTCACTGGCTCTTCATCTCTATGTAACAACAAAATCCTCTTCTCTCATTGGTTTTGGTATCCATGGGGAGTTCAATCTTTTCAGTCTCTCCAAAGTCTCCAAAATATTCCTTAATACGGTCTTCAGAAGCATCTGGGCTCAACCCACCCACCAAAACCTTTGGGGGGTCTGTTTCCTTCCTGTTTAAAGCTTTGGCCCTTTGGGGGGGTCTATCCACTTGCCAGCCAGTTTCTGTTCTTTCAGTTCCAAAACCTCATGCACACTAGCAGAATCTTTGAAAAGCACAGATCCATCTCCTCTTGACGGTCCAGGGCCCGGGTCTGCTTTAATTGTGCAATGTACAACCTCTCCAAATCAAGACAGATTCCCAGTCAGATCTTTCTTGCTTGTATCCCAGCTGAAGACTCCAGTAAACATTGTGGCGTCATCCTGCTGATTCTTGCTCACGTTGCTCCTGGAACCCTCCGCAGATTCCCTCTGCGGCCGTCCTCAGTCCTGTCCCCTGTGGTGGTGGAGCTGTCCACAGCGGGTTGCTGGCGTGCAGACTGAGTTGAGGCGGTAGAGGAGGCAGAGGGTTGTAAGGTGCTAGACGGTAACTCTTCACAGGAGTAGAAAGCCTCATCTTTCTCCCAAAGAATGGCTAGTGGTTTCAAACTCCTGACCTTGCAGTTAGCAGCCCAACTGGCCACCACTACGCTCTTAGGGCTTAATACGATTGCAACCCACTCACATCATCCAGGGCCCTCTTGGCCTTGGCTTCTTACTGGGCCTGTTCTCCCCTTCGTCCAGTCCTGTCCCTTCTCAGACCCCATTTAGACAGTGGATCTTTGCCTCTACCTCATCTCTTCTTTAGCTTCCAAGAGTCCCTAAAAATAGTCTGACTCTCACCCTTTTCTGCCAGGCCTCCCTGGGAATCCTGTCTGTTTACAGGGCTTCAAGATCTGTGTACTCCAGGGTGACTCCCAAGTCTTGATC